ACATTTTTTTCTTCATTTGTGCATTTTCAAAACACAAATAATCTTGAGACTGCGGTTAAATTTTAATGTGCTAAATTAAATGTAATGGTAATATTTTGAAAATTTTATTTGTATTGCATTGCATCCAAATTAAACTTTAGAAAATTATTCAAATATAAATTCTCATAACGTAAATTCCTTTCCGCTTTTGTATGAACACTTAATTTCAAAGGGTAACGTGGCTTTGTCTTATTGACACCTTTTGTAGGCAAATGCGACCTAAATATAAATTGCCGGTAAAGTATTGTGCTTCTAAGTTAACAGTGTTTTTATAAAAAAATTAAATCGAACACAATTTTTTCCATCATCTGCTGCAACCTCTTAATCTCCCATTTTCGCATCACGTTGTTACAGATGATAAAAAAATGGTTTTGTTTGTCAAGAAAAAACGAAAAAAGGCGGTGGTTATCGTAATAGCAGAAATGACAATACCAGGACTTCATCTGTAGAAAATCTTGAAACGTGTCTAGTGGAATATGAAAAGTTTCGTCCATTACGAGCTAGGCAACACAGAAGCAACCTCACTGCACACATTTAATACTAACAACGTCATTGAGTAAACAATCTGAAGTGTTATACTTTGGTAAGCAGAAAAGTTCTCATTCCCACGCATGACGATACAAGAGCAAACGCTTCGAAACAAATCCAAGAAAAACAAGATCGTCCGAATGAAAGGTTCTTACACATCTTCCATGTTCATTAGATTTAAAACCTATAGATTTTCATTTGTTTCGGACATTAGTAAGATATATAGGAAACAGTTTTTCAAAGAGTATATAGAAAGCAATTTCTCAAAGAATATATAGAATACAGTTTTTCGAAGAATATATAGAAAACATTTTTTCGAAGAATATATAGAAAACAGTTTTTCAAAGAATATATAGAAAATTTCTCAAATATATATAGATAATAAACAGTTTCTCAAAGAATAGATAATAAACAGTTTTTCAAAGAATATATAGAAAACAATTTCTTAAAAATATATAGAAAACAGTTTTTCAAAGAATATATAGAAAACAGTTTTTCAAAGAATATAAAGAAAACAGTTTTTCAAAGAATATATAGGAAACAGTTTCTCAAAGAATATACAGAAATCAGTGTTTCAAAGCTAAAATTCCTTTAATAATGTAATCTAAGGTTTACCTTTCCAGATCAACTGCTATCATTAGAAATAAAAGCGATTAGATTTTTAATAAACAATAATTGAACAAATCTAACTCATATTTTATATAATTTCTGGTAAAACGTAATTATTTCTCGAACAGCCTACTATTTTAATAATATTAATTATCATTTTCATAGCTTTTCTGATAAAACATCTTTACATTCTGAACTCCCTAATACTTTATCAGGTTTAAAATATATTTTACCTCATCCATTTTTATCTTTAGTTTTATTCACTTTTTGTCAGCATAATGTCTTTTCTTAATATTTATCTTTTCTCGCTGTTATTTTATTCATTTACGCTTTAAAAAGAAATAATTTCACCCCAGTTAAGGCAATAAGGTCACGTTACTAAGTGTTTGGAGAGTATGAGCAAAAAGTAAACACTATTAACAAGAGGGTTTCTGGTGAAATTTCCGCCATGTTACTATGACTTTATGAAGTTGAACTCATTACTAGATTGGCGACAAGGTGTCATCATCTTATAGTTGAAATGGCTAGATGTAACCGTAAGTTCTATGCTAAGTCGCTCTCTCATAGACGCGCCGTTGCCTCTCTCTGTCTTTTTTACAAATAATTTCATGGTAATTGCTCCGAGGAGCTGCATTCGCTGGTTCCCAGACTTCATGAGTTCAAGCGCCCTACGAGGCTGGCATCCCGCTCACCCTTTCACTGTCGAAACTACTAAATGTAGCCGTCTCTTCTACTCCAATAGCTTCATGTTTCGCACCTCTCGCCTTTGGAACTCCCTTCCCTATTCCAGTTTCCCTGAGAGCTATAATCTCCAACTATTCAAATGTAATGTCAATCGACTTCTCTAGTTGCTTTGACCTATCCACTATCCTTCTCCTCATCCTTTCCTCTATCACTCCTATCTGATCTTGCTCCAAATCTTCTGTAACCCCTTGCGTCTTAGTTGCTTCCCGCTTTGCTTGGGGTCAAACGCTTAAAAAAAAAAAAAACTCGCCTACAAAAACGCCTGATAATTATGCACCAACCCAATATTAAAATATGTAGCAGTAAGAAATAATGTCGGATTAATTATTTTCTAATTAATTTCTTAAAGTTAGTGTAAACTCTTAAAATGATAGGTCTTCAGAGAACCAGCGTGAAACGCTTAAAAATAAATCAAAAAACAAACAAAAAAAGTTTCTTCTCACTCGTGGCACTCTATTCCAGCGCCCTGATTCCATGTCAACTTTGATCTTCAAAAAATTAAATGAAGTGTCAGTGATTATCTACTGTCTCCTTAATTTTAGCTCTTTTAATGTCCTTTCTCACTTTAATTGTGTTTCCGCTTCCTTATATTCTCTAACACTCTGTAATCCCTTGCGTTTTAGTGGCTTCATTGCCTTGCTTGGGGTGAAATGATTAAAAAAATCCTTTATTAATCTTTAACTTTTTTGTTTTTTTTTCAGGATAATTTTTGTTCTAATATTTATCTTTCTTTTTTAAATGTTATTAATGTGTTTCTATTTCCTGCTTTTTAACTTCAGTTTTTGCTTTCTTTATCACTTCCTCTTTACATCATTTCCCTTGACTTTAAGACCCTTATTTCTTTTCTTTTTTTTCCTTTAATTTTTGCCCTAAGACCGTCCCGTTTCTTCATCGTTCTTCTTTTCAGAGAGTTCTGCTTTTATTTCATTTGGTTTCATTATTTTTAAGAGCATTTTAGCCTCTCTCTCTCTTTCATTTCATTTTCTCTTTTTCCTCTTTGTTTTGCTAATTATACTATCACTCACTATTTCTTTCTTTTCTTTATTCTACTGAATTCATTATTGCTTCCTTCCTGTTTTTCTCTTTCCTTCAGCTTTTTAGCTTTTCTTTCTTTTTCGTTGTGTCTTTCCTTCCCTAACTCAGTTTCTTTTTCATTTATGCCGTTCCTTCTGCTTTTATATATTCTCCCTCTCGTTTCACTTCTCCACTTTCATTCCCAGCTTAATACTTACTCTGCGACCTCCATTTTATTTTTTACAATTTTCTCGTCATATAATTTCTTATTTCCTTCTTTCTACCTCTTTGCAAATCCATCATTGTCTTATCTTTCGTTGGCTGCTGACTTTTGATAACGAATTCTTTTTTTTTTATTTTAATATATTATTTTTATCAAACTCCCAAATCTGCAACGGTCTTTCTTTATTTTCTGAATTGTTTTATATACTAAAAATCCCCACAGTATATCTAAATAAATAAAAAGGTCCATGTGATGTTCAACGTTGGGAGCAAAGATTAAGATCTTTCTTCGTAATCACGTTGGTTGCTTCCGTCATCATCGTCGTCTTAAATTGTATTAAATTTAAGAAAGAAAAAAAAAGCAACGCTGATATCTTAGCAGGCGAGATGCACAGGTAGTGTATCCAATGAGAGATACGGGCGTCAAAATGGCGGATTTTATTTACTTGATCACCCCAAAGGTAGGATATGACAGGAGATCTTTTGTATGTGGGTGCTTATACGCGAACATATGGGTCAAGGAGAAGAATTATCCAGTTTTCACGACCACTGTCACGGTGAAGTCAATATACACCTCTTATTAGTACAATAAGGAAGGTGCTGGCGAAGGGTTGGACTCCTTGTTCCAGGTGTCTTCTCTCGACTAAAATGAGGCGAGCGGATACTACGGTTTGATCTTGGCCCGAAAAATGATGGGATATGAACAACATTTCTTCTTCTTCTTCTTCTTCTTCTTCTTCTTCTTCTTCTTCTTCTTCTTCTTCTCTATACCCTCTTTCTTTATTTATGAGCTATTCTAGTTTTACTTCGTCCTACTGAGCAAACCTAAAGTGGAAGCTAGTAAGTCACTGAGAGCGAAAGAGAATACGAAATAGTAGTATAAAAATGTTAGAGAAGGAAATATTGAAAGATGAGTATAAGAAAAGTAGAGATGATGATGATGATGAGGATGATGATGATGATGATAGCATATAATAATAATAAAAATAATAATAATAATAATAATAAAAATAATAATATACCCACAGACATAACAATGTAGTGACCAATCGAAACCACTGAGAGATGGTATGAGTACCAACCAGATACAGTTACCCAAAATAACGATGTAACTATCCTCAGGGACATGCCAATTCAAAATGCCAGGAAAATAAAAGCTAACAGACTTGATGTTATCATAAAAAAAAACAAGAAATTCAGGAAGTGTATGCTTATCGACATAGCAGTACCAACTGAGAGAAAGACCTCCATGAAAATTATCGTAAAATTGTTCAAATACAAGGACCTGGAGATGAAGATGTGGGAAATGAATGAATGACTGAGACTGTACCAATAGTCATCGGAGCTCTGGGCCTTGTGAGAAAAGGAATGGACGATTTTACTAACACTGTCTCGGGTAACATCAACATGCTAGTTGCCCAGAAGATCGCCCTACTAGAAACATCCGATATACTAAGAAAAGTACTATTAATTAAATGACAATTTTACTATAGGGACTAAGGACCATAGTTTGGATCCGGCTCTACAGGATACAAAGCAGGAAACATTACATACACAAATAATAATAATAATTATAATAAAAATAATTATTACTATTACTATTATCATTCTTATTAAAAAGGAAAGATGAAGAATACGGACTGAAAGTGTGCCAGAAATCGGTGTTCGTGATCCGGTAAAACGGTAATATTTCGCATGCTGATTTTCTAGGTAGTTCTGTTTATCTGGAATATTGTCGTTACACAAACTTATGCGTACTTCTCTTCCAGTTGACATTGTGGTGTGATAATCAAGGCTTATCATTGAGTGAAAGAAGTAGCCGGATAAATCAAATAAAGAGGAATTTAGAGAAATTGGTAAGAAGAAAATGAAGAAAAGAAGTAAAATGAAGATTGCAAAAAAAAAAGAAAGAAAGAAAGAAAGAAAGAAAGAAAGAAAGAAAGAAAACGATAAACAGAAAACGAAAGAAAACTTAAAAATCCCAGAACGAATGATAAGAAAAGAAAGAAGGAAACAAAGAAAGAAAAAGAAAGAAAGAAAGAAAGAAAAAGAAAGAAAGAAAGGAAGAAAGAAAGAAGGGAAGAAGAAACTTTATATTGGAAAGAAAGAACGATCAAAAGAAAAAAAAAAGAATATTAGAATTGGAAAAAGAGGAACGAAAAGAAAAGTAGAATACAAAGAAGAAAGAAATTCAGAAAGGAAGGAAGGAAAAAAAGAATATTGTGAAATTGAAAGACATTGGGCAAAGGAGAAAGAAAAAGGATGAAAAATCAAGAAAAAAATAATAGAAAGATTACTGCTGTTTGATTTTACGAAATATCAAATTTTGGGGGTTATTTATTGTCGAATTTTGAATGAGAAAAACCAGTCAAGATTGAACTCACTACACATTAGTGACTGTCAAGCAGATTGACCTCACTAAACATTAGCCAACGGAGAAGCGAATCAAAAAGAAAAGAACGAAGGAAAAAATAGAAAAAGAAAGAAAAATATAACGAGAAAAAAATGAGCAATGAGAGATATAAAAATGAAACGTTCTTGCAAGAGGAAAAAGCAAAAAAAAAAAGAAGATTAATGAGAGAAAAAGGAAGACGGAAGCAAGACAGACATGTTAAAAAGTATGAAAAAATACCCCCAAAAAACAAAGGGGAATAATATGGAAACGAAGGAATGAAGAAGAGAAAAGGAAACTAGATATGAAGATAAATAAAAAGAAAACCAAAAAGAAGACAACAAAAAGATTAACAGAAAATAAGAATGAAAAATCAAGAAGAAAAGTAAACAAGCGAACAAAAGAAAAAAGTAAAAAAAAACAAAAAAACAAAAAAAAAAACGATTCTCTCCAAAAGATAAAGAACGCAAAACGAAAAAAAAAACAGGATTCATCAATTCTTCAGATTCAATTAAACCGTCCCCAACCATATAATCAGTTTAGCAAGATATACTGTCTACCTGATTGTATTTATCCAATGGTATCTCTCTAAATGTTCGTCAGATGTAACACAAAACCCAATATAAAGGAATTTAACTTCAGCAGCAATCTTCTGTCTGAAGTTAGACTTGCTGAAAATGGAAATGATAAATTCATTTATGATTGATGTAACAGTCATATCTAATTTGAGGGTTCAAGATTATAGATAGGACATGTAAAATGGAGACCAACAAATGGCGTTGGGCTAAACGTTTATTAATGATTTGGGTTGGAGTTGAAGAGGATATTAAATCCCTAAGCTGTTGTCCGGGTATAACCAAATCAATAAGGTGATACGAAATGGAACATTGGTGATATTTGATCTGGACTGATTTGGAAATTGATACTTTGATATTGTTAATCAGATATCAATTCTTGTTGGATAGAGCCAGGGGAAATTAATTTAATAATAAGCACAATGGTCCATTTAAGAAATTTGTACTCTGATAGACCGTACCGATAATATTATGCTTCGCAATATACATTTTATTTATATTCTGACAAGTTACATAATATATATATATATATATATATATATATATATATATATATATATATATATATATATATTCCCGGTTTGAAGAAATCGGATGCCTAGCCATACCGAAGAGCTGTGATACGAAGCGAAACAGTCTATCTCTCTTTCTTTTACATATATATATATATATATATATATATATATATATATATATATATATATATATATATATATATATATATATATATATATATATACAAAGAAATAATCACGCATAGAATCAAGCAGCAATATTAATGCTATTATTATGATATCACATCGCTTAGCAGAATATAATGTATGCATTGAAATACTGTTAATCCATAGAATGATGTGATTCTCATTTATAAAACTTTTGTCGGTTTTTTTTAATTATGCTAAGCTGAATATTACTTAGCATAATTTTAAAAAAATGATGGTAACAATAAACGATTTACTGGTTTAATGTTTTGTCACAGTCACACTGTTTAATTCATCTAAAAGTACTAGAATCATTGTATATCAAGTCCCACAAACTGTATCTCTGTAAACAGCGTGATTCCTTGCTGCGGATTGCTAGCATTAGTTTCTAGTACTCGTAGAATAATTGAGGAAATCACATTCTGCAATAAAAACTGCCGCTCTTATTTTTGTAGGCTTCAGCAAAGCTTTCGACTCAGTCAACCGCGAGACTATGTTTGAAATTCTTGAACTCTATGACATACCAGTAGAAATCATTGAATCAATCAAAGTATTGTACACCAACACACAGGCCACTGTCCTGACCCCAGATGGTGAAACAGAACCTTTCGATATTCTGGCTGGCATTCTCCAAGGTGACACACTAGCACCTTTGCTTTTCATCATTGTAATAGACTACATCATGCGTATATCTGTGGACACATTCAAAGAAAATGGACTGATGTATCAGCCTAGAAGAAGCTCACGTCATCCTGCACTCTACATCACCGATGCTGATTTTGCTGATGACATTGCACTGTTGTCTGACAACCTCATTAGTTCCCAAACACTCCTTTCTTCTCTTGAATTAGCAATTGAAACCAAAACTGAGTGTACGCCAATTAACATTCGCAACAATCATGAGATCAAAACATTCTCAGACAACATTCTCAAATGTGTCGAAGACTACAAGTATCTAGGATCACATATCAAGAACTCTGGGAAAGATTTCAACATTAGAAAAGGCATGGCATGGACTGCTTGTAACAAAATGGATAAGATCTGGAAATCCAATCTTGCTCGTCAATTCAAAATCCAACTTTTCCGCATACTTATTGAGCCAATCTTACTCTATGGCTCTGAAACTTGGACTCTCTCAGCAAAACAACAGCATCGTTTAGATGGATGTTATACACGTCTTTTAAGAAGAGTGCTTAATCTCTCATGGCGACACCACCCAACTCTAGAAATGATATATGGAGACTTGCCGAGTATCAACCTTAGTTTGCAAAAGACGTGTCCAGTTCGCCGGGCATTGTGCACGTGCCACAGATGAACTTGTGTCATCATTTGTACTCTGGAGGCACCATCATCTGACAATCGATCACGCAAATTAACCTTTCAGATAGGATAAAACGTGACATGGTTGATCCCTAAGGAAGATCTTTTAGAAGCTATGATGGATAGGGAATACTGGAGAGGTGTAGTGAGTTCAATCTCGGCTGAGGCCGCAGGATGATGATGAGTACCTCCCCGCACACTTTTTTCTCCCTTCACTGTCTTCTCATCAATCATTTGCTAATTTAGGTTTATTCTGTTTTTACACTTTTTCTCCCGATTAAAACTTTGAGTGATACCGGTTGTTTTCCTCTTTCATTATTCTTTTTTACCACCAGCTTTTTAATTATGCCAA